AAAGTAGTAGAGAGAAAACAGTAGAAAAAGAACTTCCAAAGAAGATCCAACATTTGCATAGAGGGCATACCCAAGAAGAAAAATTAAAATTTTTAACAAAACAAATATTTAAAGTTACAATTTAAGAAAATTTTCTTTAAATGTGTATTTGGATCTCTATATTACAAAAGCACACCGTGCCATGACAGAAAAAATTGACCCACAATGGTCAATAACTAGTCTTATAGTAATAAAATTATTGAATGCTTGAAGTGAGAGAATCAGACATCCAGGCAAAAATATCAAGTTATTTATAAAGAAAGGAAATTATATTGGAATCAAATTTCTTCATATGAATTACCAATGTTAGAAACAATGGAGCAATGCCTGCAAAATACTCCACAAAGAAAGGGTGAATCAAAAATTTTATATCCAGCCAAACTGACCCTCAAGAATAAAAATTACAGATGTTTTAAATATGCACAAATTCATGGAATATTGTTCTCATGGACACTTCTCAGGGAAACTACTAGAGGAAAAGCTTCAGTCAACCAAGACATAACTGGAGAACTACAGCAAAAGGACTTGTAGCGACCATTGAATGTATTTAACTCTGCAATTAAGACTAACACAAACCACAGTTTATGGTGAAGGAACATAGTGCAAATTGTATATGCCTGACAATAGAATAAGAACTCAGTTTTTTTTAAATGGGAGGGAAAAGGGAAAGAATGGAGTAGAATAGTGAGTAATTCCATCTGCAGTAGCCAAGAGTCAAGTGCTATAATTTAAAACTGACTTATAAGCGTATATAACTCTATAAAATAGAACATTAAGAAAGATAATTGACTACAAATGGAGAGTGAAAGAGAGAGAGAAATGAGGAAATAAGAGTAAACAAACTACTTTTATCATCATAAAAGGAAACTAATAGATTCTGTTTGAAGAAGATTACGACCAGTGACATTACATAAAGATATAATTATGATAATATTAAAATAAAATAAAATAAAATAAAAACCTCCTTAAATCTCAGCAAAATTTCACACTGAAAACAATCAGCAGACAAAGAAAACACACCATGTAGTAATAGACTTTTTAAAAAGTTATAAAAGAAAAACATGATATAAAATAATAATAAAACTAAGACCCAACACCTCTGTCAAATCAATAAATGTAAATTGTCTTGATTCATGTATATAAAAGAAAATTTTTACAGATTAAATCACAAAGTAAAACCCTACTCCATGCCAAATACAAGGCAAAAACCTAAGATCATCTTAAAATAGAAGAGAAATCAAAGGTCTACCAAACAAAAATGAATAATATAAAGAAGCCATAATCTTCATATCAAGCAAGGTGGAAGTCAGAACAAGCAGATTTAAATAAAGCAAAGAAGAGAACTTAATAATGCCAAAGGGTTCAATTCCCAGTAAAGATATTACAATTAAGTCTATCTATGCAACAAATAGCAGCATTCATTGGGCAGAAACTACAGGAGACATAAAGAGAAACAAACACAAACATGCTAATCTTGGGAGACTCCAATTCATCTCTCCAGTGCATGATTAATCAGGTAGGAAAAAATAAGTAAGGATACAATGACCTAAATATCATAATTGATATAATGCAAATGATTCATATAGTATAAACACGATAACCTGAAATCAGAGAATACACTTCTTTTCCCAAAAATGACCAATAGAAAACTTTACAAAATCTAAAAAAATAGAACCATAAAAATAGCATTCTTCGATCACACTACCTAGAGACTATTAATCACACTATTAATAATGGTGCAAATATTCTAAATAATATATTAGCAAAAAGAATCCAGGAGCTCATTTAAAAAAACAAACAAACAAACAAAAAAAAAACATTGTTACCAACTGAGATCATAATGGTCCACTACTAGAAACTCTATTAATGCAGTTCATCATATTGACAAATCTAAAGAAAAAAAGTATAGGATCTCTCCATAGATGCTGAAAAAGTGTTGGACAAAATTCATCCACCTTTCCTGATACAACAAACAAACAAAACAACCAAGAAAACATTGAAATAGAAATAGGAGGCTATCTTGTCGCAATAAAATGTATCTAATTCAAAACAAAGCCATCATAATGCTTCTGACTTTTATGGAAGTGTCTTCATTGTGTTGGCTAGTATCCACTAACACTACTACTATGCAGCATTGTGTTGGAGTTATTAGTCAATACCATTACCCAATAGAAAAAGATTATATATATAAAAATTGGAAGAGATGAGTAAAAATACCACTAATTATAGATAACATGGTAGTATAATTAGAAGATTCAAGAGGTTTTATTAAAAACTACTACAAACAATAAGAGAATTCACTAATAATGAAGTACAAAATCAATGTGCAAAACTCAGTTGTTTTTATATATTCAAACAACCAGCTAGAAGATTTAATAGGAGAAAAGAGTTCATATATAACAGCAACAGAAAAGATAAAGTACATAAACTTAATGTCAAGAAAAATGTGAGACCTGTTAAAAATAAAATTTAAAATAATACTGATGGCCACAAAATAGCCTTTCTACAAATGGAAAGTCCATGTTATTGGGTAGGAAGGCTAAACATCATATATGTGTCAATTCTCTCTAAATTAATTTGTAAATTTAACATGATCTCAGTGAAAGCCCAACAGTTCTAAGCTATATCACCAGATGCTAAATTTAGTAAGAAAAATAAACATAGAAGGGGACCGGCCCTAAAAGACATTAAAACAATTTTAAAACTTAAATAATTAAGAGTAGCATAGTGGTCCATTAGCAAAATAGAAATTCCAGAAGTAAGTGTATCAGATACATACAGGAATTGAGTGTATAAAAAAGATGCCATCTCAAGTCATTAGGAAGAAAAGGGACTGGTCGATAAATACTTTAGGGATAAGTAAAGTAATATCCATATCTTACTTCATATGCCAAAATAAATTCCAAAGGTACCAAAGATTTAAATTTTTTAAAATACAACCATAAAACAGTAAGAAGGAAAGCTGGAACAATTACTTTATAAATTTGGAGTTAGGAAGGTATGTCTAAACTTTTATGACTCAGAATCCCCAAGTCATAAATTATTTTTTTGGTAAATTTGGACACAGGAGAATTTTTTTTTTAATTGCAGAAAGAAGGTCATGAACAAAGTTTTAAAAAAGACAAACTGTGAGAAATATTTCGAACTCACCACACAGGGCTAGATTCTCTAATATACTGATATAAATTGGTAAGACCATTACCATTTTCAAATACAGAAAAAAGAAATGAAATTTGCTCTTAAATAAATGACAAGATAATCAACCTCCCTTATAAAAAAAGAAATATAAACAGAAACCACACAGGATATCACTTTCTACCTCTCAGTTGGCAAAAATCCAAAGTTAGCAAATACATTCGGTTGATAGGACTCTGAGGGAAAAATAGCATTTTCTCATGCATTGCTGATGGGAGTATAAGTTGGCCATATGCTAATATCTATACATCTTACAAATGTATATACCCTTCACCCTAGCAATTCCACTGCTAGGAAAACCCAGATATCCACTAGTGATGTGTGGAATGCTGCCTGTACATTAGTACAAGATTAGTCATTGCAACAAAAAAAATTGAAAATATACTAATGTCCATCAATATGTAACTAGCTAAATAGTTAGTAGTATGTCCATATAATGGAATTACAGGTAGTTGTTAAAAACTGAAAGCAGAAACTCTCCCTGCACTGATATCAAGTGGTATCCAAGGTATATTAAGTGAAAATAGTGTGATTAAGCAAAAGTAGAATAGTGTTTGTTAAGTGAAAAGAGAATAGAGTGTGTAGTATGTCATCTTTTGGGTAAAAAGGAGAAAAATAATGTAGCTATATTTTCTTGTATATGCATAAAGGAATTCTAAATGAATACTCCAAGATTGATAATAGCTGTTATGGGCTTCCATGGTGGCACAGTGGTTAAGAATCTGCCTGCCAATGCAGGGGACACAGGTTTGAGCCCTGGTCCAGGAAGATCCCACATGACGCGGAGCAACTAAGCCCACGAGCCACAACTACTGAGCCCACGTGCCACAACTACTGAAGCCCCCGTGCCTAGAGCCCATGCTCCGCAACAAGAGAAGCCACTCCAGTGAGAAGCCCGCACACCGCAACAAAGAGTAGCCCCCGCTCACTGCAACTAGAGAAAGCCCTTGCACAACAATGAAGACCCAACGCAGCCAAAAATAAATTAATTAAATTAAATTAAATTATTTTTTTAAAAGAGCCCTCTTTAAAAGTCATGAGGGACACAAAATAATAAAAAATTTAAAAAAATAATAGCTGTTATCCAGAGGGTTGGACCTAGGGGCAAACTAAAAAATGAAAGACATGGATATAAAAGACGCTTTTCACTGTATAACTTCTTATGTTTTTTTGAACAACAAGAATGCTTTATCTATTCAAAATTAAATTTAAAAGATTTAAATAAAAAAAGAAAGAATAATTTGTTATGAAGGTAATACTGTCTTGTGTTTTTCTTAATCTTTAAAAATGTCATTCTAATTTATTTCTTAATTTTTAAATTTAATTCATTTTTTAATTTTTTGCATTATTTATCATATCTAATAAAATTTTGAAGGCGTTAGTTGAGTCTTCATCTCACTGTACACTATTTACTTTTTAATAAAAGTTTAGCATTTCCATAATCCTGAATATTTCCAGCAGGAAAGGACATAGAAGAGCCAGGCTATAAAACTGATAACTTTTCAACTGCAAATGGTTTCATCCCCAGTAGTTTGCCGAGTGTGTAGTTTCCTTGTCATTTTTTCTGGTTGGCAGAATCCTTATGATCAAAGTATCTTTACTAATACATAAAGCTCACTTAGAACACATCTACTGACAATAAACTTCAAAGGCAGTGAAATCCATAGCTGTACAAAGATTCCCGTGTTGTGACATGCTACCAATTTTTAATTAATCAGTGTATATATCTAGTGTATTAAATGTAAGAAATGACATTTGTCACTCACCCCAAATTTGTTCAGGGAATTTCATTGGAAATAGTAAGAGGTGGTCAATTCCTACTGCCCCATCCAAGCATGCACAGCCATCCTGGCTCCAGACGAGCCACTGGTGCCACCTTCTCCTCTCATGAGGTCTGCAAGCCAACGGAGAAACTTCAGTTCCCACGTCCTATAGCTCAACCAAAGATTGGCACCAGCCCTATCCCCTTCTGATTAAAATAAGAAAATATGGTCAAATCACAACATAGTGATTTGATATTTCTGTATGTTTCAAAATGATCACCAGGATAAATCTAGTTTCCATCTGTACCATACAAAGATAGTGTTGTAGGTCAATTGTGCTTCAAAAACAAATAAATTCAAAGAAAAAGAGATCAGATTTGTAGTTACCAGAGGCAGGGGGTGGAACGAGAAGGAAGTGGATGAAGGCAGTCAAAAGGTACAAACTTCCAGTTATAAGATAAATAAATACTAGGATGTAATGCATAACATGATAAATGTAATTAGCACTGCTGTACATCATATATGAAAGGTGTTAAGAGAGTAAATCCTAGGCGTTCTCATCGCAAGGAAAAAGATTTTCTATTTCTTTAATTTTGATGATGGATGTGATATATGTGATAATGGATGTTCACTAAACTTATTGTGATTATATTTCATGATGTATGTCAGTCAAATCATTATTCCGTACACCTTAAACTTATACAGTGCTCTATGTCAGTTATATCTCAAAACTGGAAGAAAAAAATAAAAAGTAAAATAACCCAAAGAAGACATTCCTATTTTTGTCATTATTATATCTGTATCTTAAATTAACTTCAAAAACAATATTCAAATAGATAAAAAAATAATAATTCTATGGCAAAGATGAAGAGGGCTGTGAGTATTTAGCCATAAACATTCAAGTTTTTATAACTATTGCAATATAAATATTTTGTTTAGCCAAATAATGCCTGTCGTTGTTTCAAAAACCACCTGCAAAACCTAGCTTTGAGAATAGCATCCAGGGACTAAGTAATCCGTGGCCATGGTGGGCACCATTTGCAAAGGGATTAGCAACATTCACAGTCACTTTCAATTCAGCTTAAATTTCAGTCTGAATTTGAGCAGCATCATGCTGACACAACACATTCATAACAAGAGAGGAGTTTCCTGTTCTTTTTATGAAGCTTTGTAACCTTGGTTTCTGGGACTCCTTGTTTTGGAAAAAAAAAAAAAAAAATCACTTCCTGATAATTTCTCTGTTGAAGAAAAAAACTAATTAAAAGAATAATTGGGAAATGAACATGTTTTACATAAAGATATGCAAGTGATCTTTTTTTTATTTTTAATTCAACTTAAATTCTGACTACACATTATTTTTTCTCTATAAGTATGCACAAGGGAAAAAATAAATAAAATACTTCTGCTTGCTGGGTGCTTCTAATAGGTGTTCAGTAGCACAAAGACCACAGAAACCACATGATTGTGACAATTACTATGGCAACTAACAAAATTTTCAAATTGAAATACCCACAGTCCAGGCTGCCCACACAGAGCTCTTAGATTTGACACCCATTTCCACTTCAACGTATGTGTGCAAATTTGGAAGCCTCTGTCATCTTGTAACCACAGTGAAAAAAACTGCCTACGTTAACCCTGCTACTTGATTTTCAGTTGACTGTTCCGTACGTCAGGGAGTATCTCTTGCAGCACTCCATTAAAAAATGAAGACCAAAAAGTTGGCTGCCCATCTAGAAAACTGCTAAAACCTGAAGCACACACGGTACTAAATTAGCAATATCATCCATATGTTTTCTCCTCTGTGTACTCAAGTTCATTAAAAATAGCTTCCATCACATAGTGTATCTTTTTCTTCTCCTGACTCAGATCGTCATTTTAATCTGTCTGATTTAATTATCTAAAACCAAGCCCCTCACGTCAGAGAGGGCCTTTCCTCAAATAAATATCACACAGGAAAGCTGATGTGTAATAAAATTGTAAATGGTTTGGTCAGAATGTTCTGTTTTGTTTTTAGAGACAACAGAATTTCAGGAATCTTTTGGCTCGTTCTCATGTGCTGATGAGGAAAGTCTCAATATGGACATCAAAGCCATTTGGAAAAGGCTGAAAAGACAAGGAAAGTGTAAATAATCCTCTGTCCTGGCAACACACCCTTCTAATTGGAAAAAAAAAAAAAAAAAAAGTCATTGGACAGAATTCTGCTATGCTCAGCAAATGTCACTATGTGATTTTCTCTTCCTGCTTCTACTTCAGTAGAAACAAGAAACAGGAAATTTTAGGACAAGAAAGACAGAGGAAATGATGTGCATCTTAGCAGGACAAGCACACAAGAAAGGCAAATGGAGATCTCTTCTGCTAGGACATATGAAATTGGGATATACGAATTCACTACTGAGATAGAAATTTTCCAGCAAAACCATCGTCGTCGTCGTCATCATCATAATTAGCAACCCAACACTCCCTGAGTGCTTATACATACCAGGCATTGTTAAAAGTGTTTTACATGAATAGGCTCATTTCAGCCTCGCTTTCAGTGTACCACTGCTGTCTCCAACTGCTAAGCAAGTCGTAAGGTGTAGAGTGGAGCCAGTATTTAAACCCAGGCAATCTGTTTTCAGGTTTTAAACCCTGAAGAGAGAATAGGTAGGTGTCTGGAAAAGTCTATGATATTTCCCCTTGGAGTCTGTTGCCTTTCAAAGTCTGCACACAAAAACAAAAACCATAATTTACAATAGTGATGTTTGATGAGACCAGTGTTTAATGAGAAGATATACCTATAGTTGGAAAATGTCATCTGGGTATGGTTCTGACTAGGGGATCAGAAGAGCTAGGCTCCCACAACCAGCCTATGGCAGCAAACCTTAGTGTCCAGAGCAGCATTTTAAAAGGTGAATAAGTCTAAAGTTAGTAAGATGGAAGCAAATGGAAGCAAAAATACAATCAACTCTTGATTATTTGTGATTTATGGCTAGGAAATACAGGTCATTCAAACAGCTACTTTAGCCGATAAGTTCAACCTTCTGCCCATGAAAACCTTGTGCATTCAGTTTTTATTACTGCTGTAACAAATTACCACAAATATAGTAGCATAAAACAACACAAATTAAGTGTCTTATAGTTTAGTAGTTCAGCAATCTAGTATGGGTCTTACCGGACTACAAACCAGGTATCTGCAGGCTGCATTTCTTTCTGGAGATTTTAAGGGAGAATCTGTTTCTTACTCATTTGGGTTATTTGCAGAATTTAGTTCTTTGTGATGGGAGAAGGACTGAAGTCTTGTCTACTTGCTTCCTGTAAACTGAGGCCCATTCCCAGCTTCTAGAAGCTGCCACATTCCTTGGCTCATGGCCCCCTCGCTCACCTTCAAAGCCAGCAATGGCAAGTTGAGTTCTTCAAATCTCTCCTCCTTCCTCTTCTGTCTCATCTCTGTGACCCAATCAGGGAAGTTTCTTCCCTTTTTAGGACTCACGTGATTATATTGTGCCCATGCCATTAACCCAGGATAATCTCCTGACTTCACGGTCCATACCTTTGATTATACCTGCAAAGCTCCTTTGCCATGTAAGGTAAAATATATACAGTCCTACCCAGTTCCACAGCTCACATCTCCAGGTCCATAGATAAAGCCAGGAACATCCTTGGAGGACATTATTCTGCAACCTCATTTATGAATAGGAAGCACAGCTAGAAGGTTTTGTTTGTTCCTCGTTTTCTCTTTAACAGCTTTATTGAGGTGCAATTGATGTACATTGAACTGCACATGTTTAAAATGTACAACTTTATGAGTTTTGACATTTGTATACAGTATACACCCATAAATCTGTCACCACAATCAATATAAGGAATATACCCATTATTCCTAAAGGTTTCCTTGTGACCCTTTTTAACCCATCCCTCCCTCCTTCATCTCATTCCCAGGCAACCATTGATCTGCTTTCTGTTGTTATAGATGAGTGTGTATTTTCTAGAATTTTATATAAATGGAATTACACACTAGGTACTTTGGGGGGGGGTCTGCCTTTTTTCAATCAATAATACTATGTGACCTAGCCATTCCACGCCTATGCACTACTTTTTTATTTATTTGTTTTTGGCTGCGTTGGGTCTTTGTTGCTGTGTGTGGGCTTTCTCTAGTTGCAGCGAGCAGGGGCTGCTCTTCGTTGCGGTGCGCGTGCTTCTCTTGCGGTGGCTTCTCTTGTTTCAGTGGCTTCTCTTGTTGCAGAGCCCGGGCTCTAGGCGTGCTGGCTTCAGTAGTTGTGGCTCGCGGGCTCTAGAGCGCAGGCTCAGTAGTTTTGGTGCACGGGCTTAGTTGCTTTGCAGCATGTGGAATCTTCCCGGACTAGGGATCCAACCCGTGTCCCCTGCATTGGCAGGCGGATTCTTAACCACCGTGCCACCAGGGAAGTCCCTCCTATATACTACTTTTATTGTTTCTGGCTGGGACAATGTGTTAAGAAGAGAAAAGAGACTAAGAACAACCTGAGCTTTCCCGACCTCCAGTCCAGCTCAGATACAAACCCCGGGCTAACTTAGACATATGAAATCTTCGACACTCAGACAATATTCTGTTCTATCCATTAGTTTTTGCTGTGTAAGAAACTATCCCTGAAACTAAGTGGCTTAAACAGTATCACCTCTCTGTGAATCAGTGATTTAAGCTGGTATTTGCTGGGTCATTCTGCTAGGATTGGCTAGGCTCACTCTGGGGCTAAAGTCAGTGCGTAGATTGGCTAAGGGCTGATTCAATGTCTCGCTCAATGTCTGGTGGCTGGTGCTGGCTGTCAGTTGATGCTGGCTGCCAGTGGGGTGATGAAGATGACTGGCCACAGGTCTCCAGCAAATTACTCCAGGTTTATATTTACCTGGTGGCAGCCACAGGATTCCCAAGAGCAGCAAGAGAGGCAAGCCCCAATGCTCAAGGACTTTTCAAGCTTCTGTTTACATCACATTTGCTAATGTTTTATTGGTCATAGCAAGTCACATGACTAAGCTCAGATTAAAGGGTGAAGAAACAGACTCCACCTCTTGATGAGAGTAACTACAAAGAAACACTGCAAAAGGACATGCACTCAGGTAGGGGAAGATTTTGAAACCTTGTTTCTGCAGTCTAGCTCATCTACTTTTCTTCTTCCTTCATTAACTACACTCCCTCACTACCCATTCACGCCTGAAGCCATGCCTCAAGTTCAATTTCCTTACCCATCACTCAGCAGAATCTATTCTCTCATAAATTACCAGTGAACTTCTTACTTGCTAAATCCAGGGAACCCATTTCCCTTATCATCTCATTCGGCATCTTGGCATCATTTGACACAATCTTCTCCCTTGCCTTTGATAACACTATTCCTTTCCTTATAGGCCTCTTAGCTATTTCTTCACAGTCTCCTTTATGGAAAAAGTGTGTAGCATGGTGCTAGCACAAAATAAGCATTTTAAGTGGTTTGTTGAATGAATTATTGAATGAGTGAATGAATGCAAGAACAAATAAAAAAGGATTATGTTCCCCTACCCACCAATTAAATGTTAGAATTTGCCAATCTTTGGTTACTACCTGTACACTGATGATTTCTAATTTTATGTCTCCAGAGCCTAAATCTCTTTCCTTACTTCAGGCATGTATATGCAACCTCTGACTGGACTTTCTCCCCACTGACACTTCAAACTCAACCTGTCCGAGTCTGATCTCATTAATCTCACTGCCAGACCTACTTTTCTTCCAGATTCTTCCACAATCTGCCTAGTCACCCAAGTCAAAAATCTGAATGTTATCCTTGGCTCCATCCTATCAGTCGCTTAAGTCCTGTTACATCTTCCTTTTGAAATCAGCCCCCTTGTTTCCAACCACGTTTCTACCACTTTTGTTTGGGTCCTCATTAGTCCTTATCTAGATGCCTACAGCTACCCCCCAACTCAGTGTTTGCAAAATCGCTCTGAAGACAAAAATCATCTGAAGACAGGAAGCATATGTTTTTATGCTTGTTAAAACTGCAGATTACCAGACATGCCCCAAACCTTCTGCGTCATAATCTCCCAGAAAGGAGCCTGGAAATATGTATGTTTAAAAAGCAACCCAGATGATTCTTGCTATCAGGAAACATGGGAAAATATTTTTTTGCCTCCCAAATGCCAGAGTTACCACCGACCCTATAATCTACTCTCCACAGCATTGCCAGTGACCTGTTTAAAACACGAATCTAATCTTATCACTCCTTTGCTTAAAATATTTTCATGGTTCTTCATGGTGTCTAGGATAATAGCCACATTCTTTAACAGACCCTTCATATTTCTCTGGCCTTATCTTTCAATCCTTTTCAGTATGGACTCTACGCTCTGTTCTTAACTCTTTCCTAAATGCAGCATGCATACCCTTTCAGGCCACTGCACCAGCTTTACCTGCTACTTAGGGCACTCAACCCCTTTATTCATCACACACATATAATACTTCAGTGAGACAGGCACTGTTCTGAGTGCTTTGGAAGTATTAACTCACATATTCATCCTTACAACCCTGGGATGGGTAAGTAGATGGTGGATACTATTGTTATCCCCACTCATGGAGAAAAGGGAGAGACATTTGCCTGGAGTCACGCATAGTTTCTGGCAAAACCACGACTTGATCCCAGACAGCCTGGGATCTGTAGAATCTATGCATTTAACACCCATGCTCTAGTGCCTTGCCTTCATCTGGTTAAACTCGTTTTTATTCACAGCACATCTCATGCATTAATACTTCCTGGAAGGCTTCTTCAATCCCCCGGTCTGAATTAGCATTCTGGGCTTATTTTTTGTCACAGCACTCATAACACTGTACCATTAAAGTCTCTTTTCTTGTCTTACAAACCAGACTGTAAGTTCCTTAACAGAAGGAAACACATTTTTTGTATCCCCAAAACCTAGCACAATGCCCAGCATGAAGTACTAACTTATCCGTTGAATTTTTTAAAAAGGAATAAATGAATGAGTGAGTAAACTTATAAGGGAGCTGCAGGGAACATCAACAACAGACAATCTGAACATTCTGCCCCTGAATCGTCAAGTCATCTGTACACAATTTCATAAGGCTTTTCAATTTTGGGCATATGAGATGGCTTACCTTGTATGAAAAATAAACTTTGGAGTCTTCTTACAAATTCTACAAATGTTCATGGGAATTCAAATTAAACGCATGATTGGACATTTATTTGTTTAATCTATTCAGTAGATTTCTTTTATTTCTCTGTGTCAAGCATGAAAGTTAAAACTATTTCTAGACCTTTCATCTTAGCTCAGCTTTCCCCTTAATTTCTTCACTCCAAAATGTTGAACAAAACAGGTCCCTTTTTGTGGTTGGAAAGTTTGGCTTTACATAGAACCTTTCAACACACTACTGTCAGCACCTGATTACGGGTCATTTTTTAGCCTCTGACTTTCACTTCCTTCCTTAAATAGGTCTTTCAGATGAATCGTCTTCAGCCACTCTGTGATTATGCAGGGAACAGTTACTCAGTATATAAATGAACAGGATGCACTCAGCTCCTTCCTACCTTGTATCCTTCTGTGCTCTGATTTTGGGGGTTTCATTTTCCATTCAGTAAAAATTTGAGTGACAACCGTGTGCTGGATTTTGTGTAAGCCCTCAGTTCATTAACACTTCCTGCAAGTATGAAAGGAAGCAAATAACTGGGGAAAGCTCACATCTACCAGTTTTCAGCCTTTTAGCATCTTTGGTTTGGAGAGGAATTTAGTGGAAAAGGACTTGGATGAGACTTTTTATAATACTTGTGCAATTCTTTTTCTATATGTCATGTCATTATTAAAATAATTGTGTGTGTGTACAATACATATACATATAGATGTAAGTAATCTGTCCACCACCACAGTAGTAGAGCCTTCTAACTACTCAAAAATCTATCCCTCAGCCCATAACCCATGAAAACTTTATCAAATTCATTCCTATAATATGCATTCTGATAGTCGTAACTATTGGATCGATTTTGGAAAATAATATATTTTGGTAAATAATCTATTTAATGATAGTTTATGGGTTGTATCACATGTACACATGTCCATGAATATTAATATGAAAGATTCCACTTTTTTCCATCTGAAACCAGGAAAAAATCAAAGTACCAAGACCTACAATACTGGAAAATACTAGAATGAATTAAGGAAAGAGGAAGTTTACAATAGAACTTCTTGTCTTTTATCTTCCATATGAATGACATCCTACATATGTATGATCCTGACCTACATCTCTACAGTTGAAGGCTGTTTCCTGAGTGAATCACAGCTGCAATGAAAGGTGCAGCAACAGAGGTATGAAAATACACAGGCAACAGCACTCTGACAGAGCAATTCTATAGGCAAGAGATTAAAGGACTAATGTGCAGGACCTCAGATATGGTAGGTTTTAGGAAAGATTTTGAACCTCTATAAGAGTGCAAAAACTACTTATTTAAGAGTCTTTCCAGGCTGCTAAAGAAGATTCTGGCTTTGTGCTGCCTCCCCCTCTCGTTTATCTTCTGAGAAGAGAAGAGATGTCAAAAGAAAGTAAGCTTTGGGCATTAGTAATGGAGAATCGTCAGAGAATGAACAGAGAGCAGTGCCTGCGAGGTGGTAGGAAAGGAGGAAGATGTAACAGAGTCAATTAGGATGAAGAGCCAGAGAGGGTGGGAAGAGAAAAATAAAAACAGCCCAAACTGGGGGCAGAGGAAATGGCTCAGAAAAGAAGCTAGGAGTGCGAATAGCTATGGGGTGTGACGGCAACTTGTGGGAAAGAG